AAATGACGTTTATAAGCCAAGAAGCGTGTTTAGGGAAGATCCATCCATCCATCCACCACCTCGCCCTATTAAATATTTAGATACCATCTGTTGACTACCAAATTTCAAAATTAACCAAAATATAATTTCAAACAAAAACAGTTTGGCTATTTTTTTAAATGATGTTTTACTGTTACTTTAATTATTTCTATAAATAAATCCACCATTATTACTGAGGTAAGGGGCAAAAATATATATTCATTAACAAGATGTAACCATTGGCAACTCAGTATACACATTACATGGAAATAACACTTTTTCTAAGCTTAAATATGTAAAATTGTTATAAAACTCTTATCAAATTAATATGTTTTTCGGTATTTTTGTAAAGGAGCAATTTGTCAAGAGGTTAACAACTCTAAAACATTTAAAAACAATAAATAAAACCACCGATAACAGCGACAATTTAATAATCATAAATTGAGCTATATAATCCAGAATGCTGTCGCGAAGGTAGGCAACTCAGTATACTTGTATGTACATATGTTGCCTATAGTCAACGTTTGCATTTTGTATTTTTATTTTTTGGGATCAGATTATAAAAAAGGCAATTATAGATGCATATACTTAAACAAAATGTAAACTTATCTTGCCTTTTAACGGTTATACTTTGACATCAGTTGGCAGAGATAATTAAGACTGTTCTGCTGGTTTGAAAGTTTAGGTTATTAAACTAATTAACTAACTTGTTTGTAGATGAAAATGCTAAAGTATGTTCGCCTAATTAATTATTGCGTTTTATTTATTTATTTAATTAATTATTAATCGGATGTTTTCTGTAGATTATCGGTCAATTGATTGTAATTACAGGGAATTATTTTTGTTTTATTTTTAATGGGCCCTGTATAATGAGAGATTTAATGATATTAATGGATTAATAGTAAATTAGTAATAATAATCGCTTTGAATAAATTAACCTTTTTGTATGGGGGAGCCATTTTAGCATAATAAGGATGTAGCACTTAATACCCATTAGTTGGTAGAATTTTTATGGTTACATTTTTCTATATAATTTGCCTGAATAAAAAAATATTCCCTGAATTTTAAAACAACAAAAAAAATAATATAAAAATACTTTTTGAATCGTCTTGACGCTTAAAATTTTAAGGCCCATATTTTCATATCAATCACACACTTTTCTGAGATTTTACAAATTCTGTTTTTGCCATTTTTCTGTATATTTACCTGAACATTTTTTCTTAAATATATACGAGGAACTTTTTAATTCGCATTATGTTTAAAATAAACTTGTTTACTGCTTTTTGATGCGGCTCACCTAAAGGAGGGCGTTTTAAAAAGTTTGTTACTTTTTTTAATGACTATAATTCAATTTAAAGTTGCCCCTGAAATATAGTTTTTATATTATTATAGTTTTTTATGTAATTTTAGAAGTGGTATAATATTTGTGTGATAAGCGTCCCCTAAATTTCACTTTAACTGTAAATATTCAGTTTATATTTTAAAATAGTATATTATGTATCAAGTTTTATAAACGCCATTTTAGTTACGAGTTTAATTAAGCACGAGCGAAGCTTGCGAGCGAGTGTTTAATAAAAACGAGTGTCTAGACAAGTTTATAAACGAGTTGCATACTATACTTTATCTACGACGAACACAAAACATAATTTAAAGCCAATTTTATTTGTTAAAATTTTGACATCTGTCAACTGTCACCCGAATTTAACCTAACTTTTTCCCAATTTATAATAAAGCTAACTTCAGCCCGTGACGTAAAATGTCGAAAAGCCACTGTTGTAAACTTTAGCCCGTCAATAAAACGCCATAAAGTTACAGCTCGTCAATGTAGGAGTAGATAAAATAATTTTTATCGTCTCCTGCATTGACGAGCTGTGACTTTATTGCATTTTAGTCACGGGCTTAAGTTAAGGTGACCAACTGTGTAAAGGGGGGAAAACCAGAACAGCGGTGGCCTGTACGAAATTTTTTTTAGAAAAAAGGTGTTGCCCTATTTTTGCCTGTTTTTTGTGCAACTACCTGTGTTAAGGTATAATTATTTACTCTCAATTGAGTTAAAAAAACACAAATTTCATAATAGTTATTTTATATATGGGTCGTTACACGCCCTATCGGCCACTTTTGTACCCGACCCTTTCGATTTGGCTAAAATTATGTTATATTTTTTCAAAGAAATGTCTTTTTTTCCCAAATTTTTTTGTATTTTTTTCTGAAAAGTTCATTCAAAACCAAAAAAAAAACGCCCCATTTAGTCAAATTTTGACAAAGTTATGTGTATTTTAAAAGAAAATTGGCAATTTTTTTAAAAATTCGTAACTTTTTTTTGGTTGGGTAAATATATTGGAAAAATTCTGAGAAACTTTTTTAGTGGGGTGGAAAAAAAATTAAGTTCAGTCAAATCGAAAGAAGTTGGGTCAAAAGTGGTCGATTTGGCGTGGAATTCCCCATATATATATTTATAAATTAACTATTATGAAATTTGTGTTTTTAGCCAAGTTATTTTTAGATACCTATTAGGTAGGTATACCTAATAAATTAATATGGATTTATAAAAATTGGAAGTTTATTTTATATGGTAAGCTAAATCAGAACAGACCAGAACCAAAATAGGAAAATCAGAACCTTTATTACCTTCGATTTCCAGTCAGAATGAAGACCTCAAAAACAGTATAGTTCTGATTAAATCAGAACAGTTGGTCACCTTAGCTTAAGTTAACAACAGTGGCTTTTGGGCATTTTAGTCAAGGGCTGAAGTTAATAATAATAATTTGAGAAAAAGTGAGGTTAAATTTGTCAAATGTCAAATATTTATGAACTAAAATTGGGTTTAAATTCTTATTTCTCTTCGTGGTAGATAAAGATTTTATGCAACTCGTTATATAAACTTGTCTAGACACTCGTTTTTATTTAACACTCGCTCGCAAGCTTCGCTCGTTTCTAACAAACCTCACTTTTTCCCAATTGAAAACCCGATTGGTTCAAATCAAAGTGAAAATTGAAATCGGCTAATCGGGTTTTAAATTGGAAACTGACTTAATATGTGAGTAAGTGACATCTTGTCAGATTTGTTTATATATACGAGGGGCAACTGTAATGATTTTTAAAATTGAGAGAAATTGAGGTTATAATAAATTTTGTTTTAAAATGTCATTTGGCGGAAGTGGTCGAAAGATGCTCTAGCTATAAGCGTCTCGGCAAATGTTTTACATCAATTTGTGAACCAACCACAGACATTACAATTTGCTGTTTTCTTTGTATACGTATGTGGAATGTATGCCGGACGTATGTCAAAAAACAGGTTTTTGACATTTTAAAGTCGGAAAAATGTTCAAAAAAACTTGTCATTTTAATGAATATGGTCAAAGATAATATGTATTATCTTTGAATATGGTGCATAATGTATGCCCTATAAAGTGCATATAGGGTATATACAGTGTGTCCGTAAAGTCCCGGAACATGTGATTATTTTGAAAACGGTATTTTTTTTAAAAAAACGCTGAAACACGTCAACTTTGGTATTTTTCTAGCAATATTTTGGCATATGTAGTTGTTCCAAATTCTGCCGCGTGGCGGCGCCACAATCAAAGTCAGTTTTTTTAAATAGCAACCCTTTATTTTTGTTGCATTTTCGGATAGCTACCGTCGTCCTGAGTACATTGATATGCTACATGTGGAGGGTTACATAAGAAAATTTTTGAGAAAAGTAGGTTTTTGCCGCTGATTAAGATTTTGGTTTTGACGAACTTATTCGCTGTTACGGGGCACTATGCATTGCTAGTAAGGGATTATTTAAATCAGGTCTTTCCCAATCGCTGGATAGGTCAAAGGGGTCAAATTGAGTGGCCAGCGCGATCGCCCGATTTGAACCCTTTAGACTTCTTTTTATGGGGACCTCCTAAAAACCGCGTCTATGTAAACAGGCCTTAAAATTTGGACGACCTAAGACACCGCATTCAAGCCGAGATCCAGATGATCACTCCAGCGGTACTGGCAAACGTACAACGCTCGTTTGTAGACAGGCTGTTCCATTTCCAAATAGTTTACGGTGGACACTTTGAGCAACTGCTCTGATTGGATTTCCAAAAACATTAAGCAACGCATAGATTGTGTAAGTTTGACAAAATACCAAAATCTCATTCGGCAGCAAAAACCTGATTTTCTCAAAAATTTTCTTATGTAACCCCCCAGATGTGGCACATCAATGTAATCAGGACAACGGTAGCTATCCAAAAATGCAACAAAAATAAAGGGTTGCAACTTAAAAAAAACTGACTTTGATTGTGGCGCCGCCACGCGGCAGAATTTGGAACAACTACATATGCTAAAATATTGCTAGAAAAATATCAAAGTTGGCGTGTTTCAGCGTTTTTTTTTAAAAATTAGCGTTTTCAAAATAATCACATGTTCCGGGACTTTACGGACACACTGTATAAACATAATTGTTTTTTAAAGTAAAATGTTCTAATTTAAGAAAAAGCTGCTTTTTAGACAAATAGAGGCATTTATATTTTAATTATCTAAACAGATATTCCGTTAAATTTGACGCGCCTAAGCAGTATAATAATAAAAAATTATGGATGGAAAAAACACATCCATTACAAATCCAGGTAAACAAACATTATACTATACCTGCTTTGAATTACAAACCCCTAATAAAGGGTGGATTGAGCATAATATAAAATACAAAAAATAAGAAACAACCATCCTATAGGTATCTTCAAAAATTTAAAGATAATTTTATTGACATATCTGTACGCACATTTTATGATATGTATTTATTAGTAAAAAACATCACTTAAGAACTTTTAAACGAATTAATATAAAGTATCTTATCAATGCTATTTACAATTAATAATCTGGTCACAAATCGCACTTGCTTACTTATTTAACAATAATATTTTAATGCAAATCGTTTGGATACCTTATAAGCTCTAATAACGTCATTTAATTTCTAATAGTCGATAGGTATCTATGCGACTTAGTTACTAATCCAAATATGTACTGTTCTCTTTAATACCAAATAATAAGTAAATAAGTACATATTTGAGTCCTATTAAAATTTTATAAATTGTTTGATTATAAAATATTCAATTCAATTCAAAATTCAATTTTAACCATCCAATGATTTAAAAACATTTTAATGATTCACATTAAAACAATAATTATAAAATTTAATTTAAAATTTTTGCGCTTCAAGACGCAAGCTAGACGAAGTTTTATGTCATGTAGGCGGAACAGATTAATTCCTTTGTCACTTCCGTTTTTTAACTTTTAATTCCGTAATGTAATTTGTTAATTGTGCTCGCAGACAAACTAACAAGTTTAATCTTTAGGATTTTAAAGGGTGTAAGTTGTATCCACTTAAAGTCTCAAAACTAGTCAAATCACGATTAACTTTTTAGTAGTTTTTTTTTAAATTTAAATTAACCCTGCATGGACATTTAACGGTACTATGAAATAGTAGTACTTTTTGGTAATATTAGAAAAATCATAAACTTACCTAGGGAGGCTTCTGGATCAGAGAGATCGCTGATCGAGGGCACCTTTTGGATGTTGTTAAAAGAAGGCGTTGGATCATCATCACTGTCATCCAAAAGTTCTTGTTTTAAGTTCATAATCAAGTCATCCTTCTGAAAAAGAATGGTAAAATTGAAATATAATGGGATATGTATTTATGGTTAAAATAAGAAAAATCAAGTTAAAAAATATTGAAAATGTGATAAAATTACAAACATTATTTATTAGACAATTACAAAAATAAAAAAAATTATAATAGGCACAAAAAGTTACTAAAAGTGGCATAGATAAATACAATAATCTTAAAAATAACTAATTAACTCTGCCCACAAATCTAGGAAGTGGATTTTTACCTAATTTCACCCAAGCGATTAAGCTAAAGGTTTAAACACACTTTTGGTGCTGCTGACAATATAATCTATTGTAAAAATAGGTAGCAGTTCGTTCTCAAAATACTAAAAAACTAAAAACCTTTCAAACCAAAAATCATTATAATCTTGTTATTCCTGTGCATTTGTAAGTTTTACATGTACAGTTACGGAAAGAAGTAATGTCCATTTGAATGCTCCATTGTAATTGTTCGGAGGCATTCGGGTTTTGCTAATAAAATTAACATATCTATTTTTAAACTCAATAATTCTACCTACCTGCTATTTACCATTCTTTCTAAGCACATTTCATTTGAGTTTTAAGCTTTTATGCAATAATTAAATATAAAAGGAATAACATTGATTCTGAAATAATTTAAATAAAATATATGTTCTATAACTTATTAAATAAACTATATATTATTTAATAAGTTGTTATTAATAAAATAATATATTTAAATAAAATATAGACATTTAATACTAAAATAATTATAAATTAAACTAAAATGCATTTTGTGCACTATTAATACGTTTTTATACTTCTATTGCATATTATTGAAATTTTTTGTTTTTTTTTGCGTAACCAATATAACCGCCCGGCCTATCAAAGTGAATTATATTATATTATTATTATATTTACGTTGTTAGGTATCAGTGATTGGCTTATTTTAATATTCACTGTTATTTGAACCAATCGGGTTTTACATTAGAAAAAAGTAAGGTTGACAGATGTCAGATTTATTTATTTATACGAGGGGCGACTATAAGGATCTTTAAAATAGGAGAAAAGTGAGGTTATAATAAATTTTGTTATCAATGAAAATTACTTAATTGGATTAGAAAAAAACATAGTATTACACTCGAAATAATGCGCATTATTTACTCGGATGAATTACGTATCTCGTCTGACGGCTCGACATGCAAACCTTATCCTTTTGAATAATAGCCTGCATTATCTCTCGTATAATAAATAATAATATACTATCATCAACATTTTAGTTTTCATTACTTGTTTTATGAAATATCTGCCCATGTATAAAATTCCAATAAAATATGGAAAAGGCATAAATTTATAATTATTATAATAATTTAACTTGGTATTCCCAAAGGCTCTAAGCGTCAAAAATAAAATTGTGAGAAATAAATGAAAATCCATCCATCTTTAAAATACAAAAATAATATGGAGAAATTTTTTTTAGTCGTTTTGCATGGCACATAGACTATTTTTAAATTATAATATAATATTTTACCAAATTTGGTCCAAACCCTTTGGGAATGCCATGCTTCAACTATAATAATTATTGAGGAGCATCCGTGCAAAACCGGCTAAATCCATTTTATTCAGTTTTTGTTTTTTTTTTAATTTCGCATCTTTTGGTTCATTTCTATCGACAACCAAGATAATTCTGTTTAAATCCGACTATATCCATGTTAAACTCACATTTAAAAGGTATCTTTAGGAGCAAAACCGGCCAAATCCACGTTTTTATAGCAAACCCGGCTATATCCAATAAATAATACTGATGATGAGCATGTGGCTTGGATATGTCGATACTACTAATAAAATTTGTTCTGTTTTTTCATGTTTGCACTAAATTTATTTTGTTAATATTTTTGAATAATAAAGGTTTTGTTTTCACATTTTATTCGTTTTTTATTCGGTTTTTGAGCAAAACCGGCTATATACAAAACATTTTTTGAAATTTGGCCTTAATATAAAGTTTTTGAAAACGAAAGTATGTCTTATAAATCAAGTACCACAAAGCCCACAAAACTCAAGTTTGCTTTTTCTTTTATCTGTAAAGGCCAGGAAACCGAGAGTTTTTGCCATTTTCCCAACATTTTATTAAAGTGCATATAGCCGGTTTTGCACGGATTCTCCTCAATTATTAATGTAATTATTTACCATTTCTTTTTAAATAAAAAGGCAGCTTTCTTTGCTCATGGTTTTAGATAATATTTTCCTAAAAAAGGGTCCTACTAAATTTTACCATAAATTTTGTTTCGCTGAAAAAGTTTGAAAATATTGAAAATTTCTATAAATTGAACTTTTACCTTGGATACCTTTTAAAAGAGCCCTACCAAAATTTGTTTCAGTTTTACTAATCCGAGTTAAACTATTTTAAAGTATTTTAAAAAAATCTCATATTATTTTAATGGGAAATAAAAATTCCCGATGAAGGACCCGTAAATGTATGAGCTTAAATTTTAACAGGACCATTTTTTTGAGATTCTGAACAATATTTTTGAGGTGCTTTAAAAATAAATATTCGATATTTTTTATCAAATATTTAAAAATTTGTCCTACATTTAAAATATTAATATAAAAATTTAAAATAATAATATGAAAAAATAAGAATAAACGTTTATAAAACTATACAAAAATATATCAAAAAATTAACGATTTAATAAAACAGTTAAATATGTAAAATACCCAAAATAATTAATTCAATACGAGCAGGTAGTAAATCCCTAAGAGGCAGATGTTTCCGAATGTCTCCGAACAATTACAATGGAGCATTCAAATGGACATTACTTCTTTCCGTAACTGTACATGTATCCAATTTTTTACATTTTCATCCAATTTCTTTTGTTTTACCATCACGGACATTTCCGCGCGAAACACACGAATTACAAAACTGTTTTTATTAAAAAAATTGTAGATTATTTATTATATTATATATTATATATTATATATTATATATTATATATTATATATTATATATTATATATTATATATTATATATTATATATTATATATTATATATTATATATTATATATTATATATTATATATTATATATTATATATTATATATTATATATTATATATTATATATTATATATTATATATTATATATTATATATTATATATTATATATTATATATTATATATTATATATTATATATTATATATTATATATTATATATTATATATCATATATTGGTATCAAAAATATTCTTCTTTTATTAGGTTAAACATTAAATAAAATATTTTATAAAAGTAGAGATAATTTTAATAATTGAAAGGTGTGGACGGGACAAAAAAAGATATATCTTGTCCCTGTCAATTATTTAAATTATCTCTCCTTTTATAAAATATTGCGTTTTTTTTATTTAATGTGTAGCTTAATAAAAGTAAAATATATTTGACAATTTTGATTCAAAAATAATATATAATAAATTACCTATATATATTTGTTTATAAACACAGTTTTGTGATCACCATCTTTTGTTTTTTATAATGGCCGCCATTACTTATGTACTTTGATACATCGTTGGATTCCTTGATTTTTCTATTTAACCATGTAAAATTCCAATATGGCGGCTATCGGAAAAACAAAAAAATAAATAATAGTTTAAAAAAACTAGAAACCTGCTTCAAAGTATAAAATAATTTAATTTTCTTGAAATATTTTGTGCTATTAATAAAAAAAGTCTTGTAACTCCTTTATGTTCAATGACTATGCCAAAAGCATGGGGCGCTTTGTCGAAATTAATTAAAAGTTTTTAAAGAAACGTAACCAAAAAGCACTTCATGCTTTTTGGCATAGTCATTGAACATTAAGAAGTAACAAGTTTATTAATAACACACAATATTTTAATTACATTATTATACACCCGAAAATATAAATAGTGTGCAATAATCTACAAGTGGTTTTTAGAGCCAACAATAGGAAGAAAACTTTATATAAACATATGTAGGTTGTAAGTGACCTACAGAGTCCTTAAAGGGGCGCCGCTGAAGTTGTTTTATTATTATTATTTCTGAAAGGGTTTGAGATATATATGTATTTTTTATTAATATATCTTGTTAAATATATTAAATTGAAAAAGAGATTAATTTAATTTTTTTTATTATTTTATTTTTATTTGAAATTGGTGCATTTTATGGATGTTTAAAAAGAGTACCATTTTTACGGGAAAAAACGCTATTATTTATTTTGCAGACAACTTGCAAAAAAAAATTGCAGACTGTCCCTGTTTAATACACTAATAAATAAAAAAATTAAATTTGTTGTTATTTTTAAATTTAGAATAAATAGTTAAGTAAGCATACACAATTTTAATATTTTATCTCAAACTGTATCGGAAATAATAAAAAAAAACATATTTCCCTTTAAGAGGCTGCATCTCTCTTAGAGACTATTAGTACACTATTTTTGGTGCACCCTGTGCACTGTTTTGTGAATTAAAGCGTTTTTGGTTTTTTAAACTATTATTTAGTTTAACTAACTAATATTGTTAAAAATGGCGAATGCTCCGGTGTTACTTTGCAATAAATCAATTATTAATAAATAATTATAATTAATTTAATTTTTTTATTTTTGCCATAATAACACACAGACAGAGTATACTCTATTATAGAGCTATAATAGCTTATAGCCTATACCTTTTTAAAAATACCAAAAAAACGAAGAATCTTTGGTTTCAATTTTGAACTAAAAAAATATATCACGCGATATACCTACATACATATACAATGTATATATTATACATATGTATATCAAGAAAATTTATTTATAATCTTATTATATTTTTTCAATTTCTAATGCAAATCGGCAGTTTGAAAAAGTTTTGTTTTTCAGATAAACCATAAAGAGCCTTAATTGCATTTTTTATATAATATTCAGTTTTTTGCAAATAAAAAACCTGTATGTATCTTATCAATTTCCTTTACTAAATAAATAACTACTACCATTGACTGGCTTCAGACGCAGTCTATGAGAATCATTTTTAACGCTTG